TTTTCATGGTCATTCAATTTCTAGTGAGCATTTAACATCATCTAAACTGCTCTTTAACTAGACTACATATATTTTTAAGTATTACATTGATTATTTTTGTATTATAAAATACTCTCTTCACGCAGTTAATTCAGCTGTAATTTTTAATTTTGTGCATGCTTAATAATGTCCTATGCTCCACAAAGTATATTGAGCAATATCTCTGCAATCCATTTTGGCATAAGATGTACTTAAAACAGCACGTCTACCCATTCCCCTGTAGTTTCATAATAGTGCTTTATGCACTCTGTTTTAACAAGTCCATATAGACCGGGGTTTACAAGCCTGAAGTCTCCTTGAATAGAATGATTTTAATCAGAGGGATTGTGGTCCTTGGTGTTTTATAGGATTTTATAGCCATCAATCACTACAGGTGAACCAACATTAGCTTGATATTTATGTATCTGCACTGTAGCATGAGCCCCTCAGTGCTGTGCTCACTGTCATGAGGGGTTTTTGTGATTATTAATTTTACCTTTCCCATTTTCAGGAGACTAATAATATGTGTGGCATTCTGCTCCCCTAGTAACCTTGACTTTGGTTCAGATACCAGTATCCTTGTCTGCGTATGATTTTCTTTGGTCCTTGACTCCTCCACCAGAGTTTATGGCTTTTCATTTTTACCTCCCTCTCTCCAGACGACGGTTATCGAGTACGTAAAGCCCTCAGACCTTAAGAAGGACATGAACGAGACCTTCAAGGAGAAGTTTCCACATATCCGACTGACACTAAGCAAGATCAGAAGGTACCCGCTTTCACATAGTGCTCACATCAGTCATCAAGGTTGGGTTTCCACTGTCCCAGATATGAGACCTCGAAGTCTCTTACTGGCCCAGGTGTGATGCCCCTGTGAAGTTGTGAAGTTCCTGTACAGTTTTGCTAATGCCCATAGTTGGATTCCTCATCACTGTCAAAGCGATGAAGGTGACCTCCTGTGTCTGTGTGCTCTGCCGTGACTACGGCAGTTTGAAGAGAGAGATCCGCAAGCTGGCACAGGAGGACTGCGGCTACGAGGAGCCCACGGTGGCCATGGCCTTCGTCTACTTCGAGAAGCTGGCGCTGCGCGGCAAGGTGAACAAGCAGAACCGCAAGCTGTGCGCCGGCGCCTGCGTGCTGCTGGCCGCCAAGATTGGCAGCGACCTCAAGAAGCACGAGGTCAAGCAGCTCATCGACGTGAGTTTCTCGAGCCCCTGCTTCCGTGGTATTTTAAATTTCGCTAACACGCTTTCTGTTTAATTCTTTTCCTGTCACTCCATGTGGCGCTCCTCTGTTTCTCGTCCATTTTCCCTTTGATCAATAAACTGCGGACGGTGTTTTTCAGAAATTGGAAGAGAAGTTCCGGCTGAATAGGCGGGAACTGATCGCCTTCGAGTTCCCCGTCTTGGTGGCCCTGGAGTTCAGCCTCCACCTGCCAGAGCATGAGGTCATGCCCCATTACAAACGCCTCCTACAGAACTCCTAGCATTGGCTTCACTTCAGGAGAGCCCAGATCGCCATCCTCTCCTGACCTGGAACTCCTTCCACGGCTACATATTCTCCTAACGTATCACTCATCGATTATATGCAACCATACTTCTTGTTTCTGCTGGGATTTGAGCACTTCCTGTCACATGGTACCCCAAAATCCCAGCATTCTTTCTTCTTTTCTTTCAGCAGATATTCCACTCCACACTTAATATGCAGTTTAAAATATAATTTGTATGGCAAACAAGCAAGAAGCTTGAATAGGATGCACTAAACTTTTTACTTACATATTTGTACTATGACAGATTTCTTTCATCTTTTAATATACTTGTAGCTTTAGCAGTTTTGCTAAGAATGTATCTGAAATGTATGAGATGAGCAGCTTTTTATCCGTAGCAATAAGCCAGACAGCTTGGAGAATTATTCATGCTTTAACATTATTTGAGTGTTGTTTTTAGGTCCCAGTTTTGGACTGGTTGTCTAAGATGTTCAGGTGGTTCTAATTTTGGTTCAGGGATTTGCAATGAAGTCATACTTTTATGCCTTTTTTTGGAAAAAACAAATCAATGTCCTCTGTTACCAATGTTGATCAAACTCACTCGATAGCGATATCCAGTACTACTACAAGTACAGACCTGCAATGCGGCCAGTGATGTATTTTCTGTTTGTTAAGGATTGTTAATTTATATCTTTTGACCATTTATTGTTTTTTGACTTTTATTAAACAATCTGCCACTCAAGACAACAATACTGGAGTCTTTCAGAGAAGTGACGTTTCCACATTACAGGTTAATGACCTGCAATCTGGCATAAAATAACATGAATCATTTATAAATTTGTTTTTTTTTTTTGCCAGTGTTTTTTTTGTACTGGTGGTGACTGACCCTGCACTCTTCAGTGTTTCACTTCCTGTGCTCTATGTTAGAGTATTTTATTGGCACGTTAATGGTGCTGATCTATAAGACATTTAAGGCCAATGAGCAATCATGTAGATCACATGATAGTCATGTGCTCATCACCCATGTGACTTTGTATTATCCAGTAGCAAAGGACTACCCAGATTATATCTCCCTTGTTTTTCTCTTCTGTTTTTACACAGGAAGAAACCAATTCCTGTAGATAGTTTGCACTAGTCTGGTTTAAGTAAATTGCTCAGTACTTTATTATTATGGACTGTAGATGTGTTTTTTCCCCCCAAATGTTTCCATTTGTATAGGTCCTGTTCTCAGCTCTAGCTGTGCACTCAGCTTTTTTCAGGAACGTAGAACCTCCCAGCTCCAATGCTGCGTCAACCAAAGCCACAGTTTCTCCTTGGCCTCACCTCGGTGACCTTTAAGCCTGTGCTACTTGCAGTTAATGCATATATTTGCATAATTTTCCACTGTCAATCTGCAGCCCCACCCCCACCCCAGAATACAAGCACATACTCATGTACCATCATAAATATATGGCCATGATTTGCATATATCCGTTAGCATCACCAGTGGGCTTGCCGTGAAATAAAACCTTCGCTGTAGTACACTTATGGAGAAACATATAAAATTATGAGGAAGAATTGCATTATCCATTTAATTATGGAAATTTATTATGCTACACATTTTTAAAAAATCACTTTTTTCATTGTAGAAAACTCTTATTTGCATATTGTGTCCCTTAGTGGATCTGTGTAGTCTTTGTTTACAAGTGACAAGCCATTAAGGTAATCTTCCTGCTTTATATGCCAGGATCGCAGAAGGTTTTCTTTCCTGCTCTTTTGTTAGCCGATGTGGGGGCTTGGCATTACAGGCCCTCAAAAAGGAGCTTGATTCAGTGAATAATATCAGCTTTTCTTCCTTTCTTATATACATGTAATCAAATAAGTACAAGCGGTAGCACAAAAAGCTAAAGAATGTGTAATTGAAGTATTTCTGATCTGATCTGATTTCTGAAGGAAATAATGGGGAACCTTGAATGTGCAGCACAGGGGAACAAAGACAAATATTGTTTTATGACTCTGGTAAATATTTACACGTTGTGTACAGAAACAACTTTGCTTCTTCAAATAAACAAGATAATGAAATTGTTCTCATTGAGTCACATTTTCCTTTCAACATCCTTGCTCTGCTTAGTTATGGTTTCGTTTCTCCTTTTAGACTGCCTGACGCTTTGTGCCGTTTTCATGCTGGGTTTTTTAACCGCTCAGCTGGTATTTTCGGAACGGTGTGCACCACCCATGCCCACAGTGGATAAACTGGCCGTGATTGCACTCTCGGGAAATTAGGCAGAAAACAGATGCTGATTTCACACACTGATTGTTGATGGCAGTAGAGGTATTCACATTAGATTTAATTTCATAAAATTCTTATCCTGACCACCCACGTTGTTATTTTTAGTAATCTGTGCCTTGAGGACCTTTATCGGGTAGAATCGCTCTGCATTCAGCATTTTTCCAATTTACTCTAATCTAATTCAGCTCAATTGTGTGCAGGTTAACTATAACAAAACGGATTTTAAAATCAGGTCTTGGCTATTTTTAGGATCACCCACTGTTATAAACACAGAACTTCTTACAAGAGAATCAGGCCAAGGACTTCCTCTTTTTGGAACTTCCTGTTGATTGTGGTATGTTACCAGTTTGCCGCTGTACCTTTTTAAGATGTCTGTCATTGAACTGCTATTACTACTTGATTTTGTAAAGCCAACAAAGAACCAACAGCACCAGTCAGCTTTCTCAATCAGTACATGTGGATGCCATGTGGCCATTTCATGAGGTACCAAGTAGCATCGTGAAATTTAAGAGGAACTGGAAACATTATGGATTTATGCTGACCCTATAGTATCATACACAGATATTTCAGCCAGACCATCTGTTGTGGACTTATGAAACTCAGTTCTTGATGCTACTCCAGTAAACCAAACTGGCTGGAAGCACCTAGAGACGAAGCAGCCTTCATCATGACACAGCCCCATATCCTGGAAGTATCCATTTGAATAAGGGTAGACTGGTCCTAATGGTCCTAAACTGGGACTGCAGTATGTGCCAGGAAAACATTCCCCAGACCATCAAACCAAGACCACATGAAAAGGTGCAGGCCTCTTTGAATCAGTAGAATGGAACCATAGATTTATGCTAATTTTTTACCAAATTCTAACTTTACCATCAGCCACCTGCAACAAATCTGATGTTTCTCAGATCAGTAGATGTTTTTCCACTCTACAATCATCTAGTTTTGGGGATATCATACCCACTTTAGCCTAGCCTGTTCTTAGCTGATGAGAGAGGAGCCCTGAGTGGTCTTTTGTTTTTCTAGCCAATCCATGTCAAAAGCTTGTCATGGCTTTCTGCACATCACTGCTTATACTTAGCTGTTGTTATTTTTGCACTTGTGCCCTTCCTGTCTGTGTTTTAATGAGTCTGGCCATTCTCCTCTGTCCTCTTTCATTAACAAGGTGTTTCAGCCCACATATTTTCTGTCAGCTAAAGACATTATATTGCAAGAAGGCAAAGCACTTAATTCTTTTTTTGTTTTTATTTATTTGCAAAATAAATTTTAGTACAGTACTTAAGGGGAAGATTTTTTAAATGGCCACATGATGAACATCTGTTGATGACAAACAAAGACTTAAAGGAACAAACTGGATGATCAAGTTCAGGAGAAATTTTTCCAACACCGTTAATTTCAAAAGCACCACATATTTATAAAATAGTCACGGAGCAGATATAATGTACATTACAAAATGGCTCCCCCTTGGATGGTAAAGCTTCTCCGAAGCAATAGCACTTCTAGGACAGACAGAATTACTCTCTCAAGTTTAAATGTGCAAAGCTATGTTCTTCCATGGGAGACAAAACCCCACAGATAACATTTTTCCAATGTTCCTATGCTAATAAGGCAAAGTGACACACTGGATGCTGACGTTATTGAAACATTGTAAGAACATTTTTTTGTTACACCAGATGTCACTCCAGTAAAATACGGTACTACCTCCGAGTACACTTCTGACACACTGAATTAGAGGAATTCACCTATATTCATATTATGTATGGGACACACTACCACTTATTTAATTGAAGAGCTGAACACAGAGGTGATCATTCCCCCCACCTCTGTCTTATTTAGAGAAACATTAAGATAACAGCACTCTATTACGAAGAGGATATCACCTTTGGACTAACCTGGAAACTTTCCAAAACCTCTTTTCCTGTTTAGGTGGCCATTACTGGAGGATTATCTGCTTTTCAGTCAGCACATAGCTAGGGGGGGGGCGGGGGGTGGTAGTGCATTGTTTAAATTCCCTTAATAATAATGTTTACCTCCCTTTCTCTAAGCTCCACTATGTGGAGTCTCATCGACTGGCGACATTATACTCTGAATATACCAGCAGTCCCTCTCCGGCGTAGTTGACCAGGAGGCTGTGGATGTAACACAACAGTGGTTAACAGCAGATCAGGCTGGTTTTAAATGCACTTATAAGCATCAGTCAGTCCTAAAACCCCCAACCTACAGCATCTATTCATCCCATTACCGCCCTCTGTTACCTCTTCTACCATGCACTCATATAGTACCAGTCAAAAGTTTGGATACGCCAAGCCACCTATAAAGTAGAGTGATCGTGTGGTATCACATGACCTAAACATATGGTTGCGGAGGAGTGAAGGAAAAAATGGCCAATGAGTGCTCAGTGACTGGCACAGAAGGGTCAGCCAGTCCTTTGAGCAGTTGGCATTAAGGGACATCACTCTGCCCCCGACGAGGTTTCCGCAAACCGGAAACCTACGGAACTGCCCCCCCACCACATAAATTAATTTTTGTTCAGTACTTTTTCGGTCAGTACATAATGCCGATGGGTAGGTGTAACCAAACTTTTGAATAGTGCTGTATTTATTCTCTAGCGATTTATGTTTATCATACCGCCATTAATGTGCACCACTGCATACTGGAGCTCAGAACATGCAAATGTCATCAACTGCAGTGTTGAATACATATGAATTTCTCACTGTTCATCTTGAACTGGAAAAGGCCCATCTAACATATTAAGTGCTTGCCGATTTACATCAAAGTGTCACAAATCAAAAGCATCTATATCAACTGCAATCTGAGAAAAGGAATTTAGCACCAAATACTTAACTGATATAAATGTATTAAAAATCTGCATTTATGCATTTCATCTGCATCCCCACTGGTAGAATGTAAAACTCAGACAGTAAAGGGACATACTTACCAACAGAGAGCAGACTTGCTGACAACAATGTCAAAGACAAACGGAGACAAGCACGCGGCCAGGATCTACACGCAGGGCAAAGGACACATGGGACATTAAAAGGAGGCAACGGGACGGAACACTGGGCATGGGACATAGCCGCTAGCCTGCCAGGGCTCCTCTGGGCAAAGACGGGCATCGTATTCACGACACGGCATGACCTGCAATGAAACAGCCCAAATGGCTGCACCTTTTATTTAATCAACTTGCTAAAGTCATGTCACCAATCCCAGTTAGCTGAAAGTCTACACTGGGAGGACTTTGTTTAAGGGTGTAACAGTGGTCTTTTACCAATAATGTCGCTATCAAACACGCAGTTGTACAGGAGGCTCAGGGGAAAGAGCATCCTGCTGTTCGTAGGTAAGAAAAGGGCAGCCCTGCTCGATCTGTGCCCGCGTTTTTTGTTGTGTATTATGCATGAGTTCATTTTGGCATTTTGAGATGTTTCCATGGTAAACAATATAAAGAGAATAATATGCCGTGCATAGGAAAAGTCCTACGTGATTAGACGACTGACCGCAAACATTTATGATCAACTTATCTAAAAAAAAGCAGACTTACAATGATATAGTAAAGTTCATACATTTTAAAGCTAAATGGTATACTAGTGGCTCAGTGGGTAGCATTGTGGGTAAATCTTGCTTGTGTACTTGCATATGATTGAGATGATTATAAACTTGCAAACCGTACATATAGAGCAAAGATGGGATTCGAACACCCAGCACTGGAGGTGTGAACCACCATGGTGTCCCTGCTCTTCACTGCTGTACCCAAATTAATTCCCTAACCCTTGCTCCAATCCCACAGTTACATGATTCTATTGGCTGTCCGGCCCAGAGCCTGTCTTAAAGTGTCCCAATACTCCACGCAAAAAGTGAGACATAAAATACCAGAAGATACATACCGCAGACATGTGAATGAGCAGAACACTTAAATACAATGACAGATACGTACCAGGACACAAGTACATTTTACACTTGCATCCTGCTAACAGCTGTTAATGATCTCACAGGGGCAGCCTGGTAGCTATAGAAACAGTAACATTAATATTTCAGGAGCCCTTAGAAACATCAGGCACACTGTGATAAAGCTACCATCAATCTTCTCGACACCTCTTCGTATTACTTCATAATTATTAAATATGACAATGATTTAAACTGAAATAGGTATTTGTTGATTTGTAAACATAAAAATGTCCACCATAAAAAAGAAAACTAGATATCATAGAATGCGATTTTCTTTCTTTTCACTCGAGATTTGATCAAAGGCATATCAGGGTATGTAAAGCTGCTTATGCTCCGGCCATTCTGGAGAAATTTACTTGGTACAGAAATCCGTCCAGAACAATGAAGTGAGCCGATCACAGTGTAGTCTCAAGCTTGGCTACAGGAAGTCTAGCTGGAATTTGTGCCATATCTTGGATATTTAAGGCACCTTTAGGGTAAAAACTGGTAAATCTATATGGTTAAAAACTAGTGTTATTTCCAAAAGACACTAAAATGGCAAATGAACCCAACTCTACAACAGTTCACTTATAATAAAATTCGTAGAAATAAATGGTAGATAAAGTAAGCAACACCTCAACGTGTCTTTCTGAGTGTGTACATAGAAACCTGTGCACAGCATTTACCGCAGTATAAGCTAACGTGATGCTACTCACCTTGGCCAGGAAGAGCCAGCTCGCGCAGTGCTCCAGGGGAAGGCCATTCTTTAGCTTCACTGCAGTCAGTAGCAGGAAGAATCCTAGCAGTGCACTGTGGGACATGGTCAGGTGGGAGATCAGTGTGGATCACAAACGGCCAGGAGGACACTTACAAGCCTCCCCACATGCAGAAGCAAGGCAGGAATCTAACTCAAAGCCAAAAAGGCCATAGTGACGCCCACCGGACCACCACACAACCCTCGAGCCAACTCACTGCTTAAAAACTATCAGAAACCGGAAGCTAAAAATACTATGCTAGCAAACCGCCATAGAGAAACATGCCCCGAGCTTGCAGGCCTGCAAATTCATCCAGCTGGCCCTACTTATCCATAACTAGGAAATGACTCCCATCAGCATCAGCTGGCTCTCATTAAATGTGGCATCTGTGGGATACTGAGCTGGTCATCTATCACAATGGTGACACAAAAACGTCCCCGAGGCCACACAGCATTGTTTCACCTCCCCCGGCCCCCACTTTCCACATCACTGTGTCCGTTAAGTAATCAGGCCCACGCTTCCTGTGCTGGCTGCACATCTTGCAAATGTGTTACAAGTGGATTGAAAGATCCAAATACTGGACGCAGAAGTTAATAAAGCGGGCAGTCGGGCACGAGGAGCGCTATGGCGCCATCCTCCATCACTGGGATTCAAGGACAGGCTTGTGCGAGAGGAAGAGAGTCAGGGACGAGGCTGAGACAGACCAAATTTAATTAGTCAAAAGTGATTTAAATGAATCACTAACCCTGTGACTCTGAACAGGACAAGCTGTTTCAGAAGATGGATGGATGGATGGAATTGCTAAATTATTAAATTAATAACTTTTAATCCACTGTTTGCCCCTCCAGTCAACATTTTTTTTCTCATTTTTGCTCCCTCCCAGCTCCCCCACACACCTTTACCAGGTATTCAGTGTTACTGATTGTTCTTGATAGTTCTATTTGTTCTTGAATGTTTGGTTCAGGTGCGCTGGGAGCTGAGAAGCAGCAAAATGTGGACTGACTGGGTCTCTGAAGACTGGGTTGAGAAACACTGCACTGATCGATTTATCCATAGATTTTCAGGGTCGATACTCTGCTAAGAGAGACGTTTATTTGTTGGTTTAATCGAGTGTGTACACATTTAGTGGAAACCCAAAGCTCCAGAGGAACTGGATGCACACATGTGAGCATCCCAGGAAATGCAAGCACTGACCTGGCACAGCAGCCACTGTGGAACCTGTAAGACTGCAGGAAGGGGAACTCGAAGACACCAAAGAGGTCACCTGACCGAAAAAGGTGAACAGTTGACACAGAAATGCGGCTACATCCCTCAGAGCCAAAACCAGTGTGCTACTTTAACACCATCGGTCCAGAACCCATTCTGGGTTCTGCTTTACTTATTGCCAAATAAAAATGTGTCCCCAATAACTGTATGTACCTTAAAAAGTTGGTGGGGTAAGGAGTGAATGTCACAGAAAGCAACAACATACCTGTCGGATGGGCAGCGACGGCTAACAGCAGAACACTGAGAGGAACAAAGGAATAATTACACAATTACAATTACACAGGCAATGGCGGCACCCATGACAGACAGCATAGGCATATGGTACAAACAACAGACTCTTGTCATCACCGTCATGTGTCATTTTGGATCTACACATGCTTTATTTCCAGGTTTATGCTAGAGTGTGTTTGCCATTGGATTCAATCTCAAATACCTCCAGACATTGGGAAATCATTCTACAAACAGGCATAGTCGAAACCATCTGATAATTAAAAAAATACACACGCACACACATTTTAACTTCCATAAAGATCTCTCACCAACAAATTTGTACAGCTCTGAGGTTAATTTTTAATTACAGCAATGCTGTCTGGCTTGTAGAGGATCCAGATGACCGAATCACTTGAGGGTTTTGTGGGAAATCATTTTAACTGCTAAGAATGATTTGCTTGTATTTTGCATAACGCTAGTAGCAACGTTTGACCTAAAAGCTCTGGTATTCATTCCTTACATGTCTGACGGGGAATGAGTCAGTTCAAGCTTACCTGAAAATGTAGTTGATGCACTGCTGTTCAAGGTCACTGAGATAAAACATATGCATTAGTAAAGTTATGCATTTTAGATGCACAATTATCCAGCCACCCCAATTAGAAATAAATACAATTCAGATTTTCTGTTATCTGAAGGGGCCTGATGTCATACCTTATAACATCACAATTAGAGTCCTGAATGGATAATGGACATGGAATTTAATGAAGCTTAAGTTATTTTATCCCTCTGAAAATCCCTCACTTATGCATTCATTCTATTAGCCACATTTATAAAGTCCAGCTCTACAGTCTCTCAAAATGAACATTTTGATGTTGCTTTAAAAAGCATACAACAGCAAAGGCTGATTTGCTGGAATCTCATACCAGTAATCAGATTCAAAGTAAATGCGATCTGAGAATTCAGTTCAATTTAGCAGACACTTGTCAAGAATGACATACAAGTGAGGAAAGCTTATGGTCAGAGATTAAGGTAGGATGACACCTAGTGCTCCTAAAGCAGGTGGGGTTAAAGGCCTTGCTCAAGGGACCAATAGTGATAACCCTGCCGACCACAGAATTCAAACCCACAACCTTCCGGGCATGGGCACAGATCCCTACTATTTTGCTATATTTAATTCACAGCCGCATTTTCATAGTATGATTGTAGCAAACATAAGAAGGTCATTTGTCTATACCTTAGATGGCTATATTTGGGAAGCTTCTGGAATACTCGGTATGCCCCTGAAACAAAAGAAAATTCATATATGATTATGCTCAAGGAATCCAACCCCAACCAGTAAATGGGTTTCATAACACTTCAAGAATCGACCTCCAAGACCTATCAGAAAGCATTAAAGGCAGATTACATGCAGCCAATTTTATAGTGTCCGCATCTCCACATAGCAGTATCCCTTTTTCAGAAGATAACCAGATGCCAAGTGAAGTTTACCATAGTGTTGGTCATAATGATCAGCCTGCCACATGGATCAAACTCAAATAGTGATTTTTGGTTTGGTTAAGGACACTGCAATGCTGGGCTCTTATTAAAACACAGAATTCACAGACAGAGATAAATCTGAAGAAGCACTGTCAATGCAGAACTGACCGTTGGCGAATCTTACCAACACACAAACAGTGGATCATAGCCCAAAAGTAGCCACCAGGATCAAACTGCAAACAAATGAAAGTTATTGTAAGGATTCACACTGCGGTAACAAGGTTCCACCTAGTGGTGCCATGAAAAAGTACAAAAAAATACAACTCATTAACATACATATTTTCATTTGCTACACGTACCACAGGTCAAAATTTACAAACAGCTTTATTCTTACATGTTGCATTGGAGGGACAGTTTTTGTGATGAATGCACGAGACCAAAATACTAATCAGTAATACCAGTAATATGGGCAGGCCTTGACAAACAGCCTTGTGACCTTTACTCCGGAATAAAGGACTACTCAGAAGATAAAGCATACCACAGCCTGCAACATGCGAGGAACGCTATGTCTCAAATGCCAGACGTATCAGAACAATGACAACAGAATCCACAAGTCTGTTTGTGAAATCAATTCACTTTAGGTTGAACTTTAAAATTGCAACAGTGCGAATTCTTTTTAGGGAATCAGAAACATGTCCTTTATCACTTTAATTTTTTAAATTATAAATACCTCTATTGAACAGCAGTTCATGTACAGCCTTGTGTATTACATAAATCTCCCTAAGATTAGTTTTTTAATGTGGTTGTATAATTGTACTTTCCCCCCATATTATCTGTTACTTCCTGAATACTGTACCATGTTACAATAACAAATTACTCCAGCAAAGCCAACCTCATTTACCAAGCATGCTAGTCATGTGACCTGGCAGCACATCCACCACGACTCGGTGCATCTGTTAGACATCTTACCTTAAAGCTCCACAGAAACACAGATATGAGACTGACCTGTGGGTCGACCAGGGGAAGGCTGACAGCCGACACCAGCAGCAGACTAACACTGCACGACAGAACAAGAAGGGGCACATATTTTTAGAGCTGCAGGTTCACGCTCCAAATGAAGAAACAGGCGATCCATAAACTCTGCCAAACAGGGCGAGTTCTGCTGGGCGAGTTCAGATATTACGGCAACTGGATCCATGTGTGAATACAAGGTCTCCCAGAATATACTCAGCTCAGGAGATTCCATGACGTAAACACATGCAAAGATTTACACAGCTTTTTAAGGCATAAGAAACCCGAAGGCTAAAATTAACAAATGAGAGACCTTGAGCCAACAATGTTGATTATTTATGCAAATGGTTCTGTCTAAGTAATAGACAGACAGCACAACCATGCCCGTAGCTACCACTGAGGACACCGAGATCAAGTCCTCAGTGTGTATTCTGCAACTTCAATAACCACTATCCATTACGGGCACACCTAGGATGGGGTAACACTTTTGACCTCGGTATTTTATAAATCCTGGGTATTGCCTTGAGCACAATAGCTTAATTAACTGATTGATTAATTTATAAAGTGCATAGTACAGTGCAAGTGGTACAAATGAGAAAGGAACCTAAACTGCAAACATGGAAGATGTAGAAATATATAAAAAAAGAAAATAATAAAAAAAAATTGTTGAACTTGATGACAGTTCAATTTTATTGACTGATTAAAAATTTTATGATTTTTTACACTTAATTTGTACTCACCAGTGCGATTTGAAAAGAAATGAAACAGAGATAATAAAATTACATACCTGAGAAGTTTTGTCCAAGATGCATGCTGGTTTAAAACAAAAAGAGATAACATTAATAATCCTCATCCACTGTATAATGCTGATGCGCAATCCGGGAACAAGAGCCATTAGCAATAGCCATGCATGATCAGCTGACCCCATACCTCTTTTTGGGTCAGCCTTGAGGTCACATGGGTCACCACTTCAGAGGCATTGTGTAGCGTGAAGAACATGGGGATGGGCTAGAGAGCACATGTAATAAAAGCATGGGCAAATTTCATAAATGATTACACATTCTGAAGCAGAAAAAGTGCCACAGGCAGAAACAATAACAGTCATCACTTGTCTATTTTTTGTTTGTTAATTTGATATAGAATTGTACTTTACCCAGAGGGACTTGCAGCAAATAAGGATTTTAGCATTGTACAAATAAAAAAAAAACTGATTTCAATATCATTGGGACCAAATGTTTAAAGTGCCACCTACCAAGCGTGACAGTGCCCTGGATCCAGCATAGATGTTTCCCACAAACAGCAGGGACCCAGGCAGCCAAGAGAGAACAACAGCTCTTAAAGGGAACAACACACAATCAGGTCATTGTTACCTACAACTCCTAATCTGGGCCGCCAGTCCGCAAGATTAAAAACAGTATCTTACTAATTACCCTCAAGTGCTTTATACAGGTTACATATGCAGAGATGCAGTTATTTTCAGCCTTTCCTCACAGTGGCATTGGGGTGGCACAGTACTGGGCTGTTCAGAATGAGTGATCGAGTAGAGTTACAGATATTCAATATCTAAGAAGAAGGATCTACTGCAAGTAAGCGTATAAGTTCAAGGAAAACCTGCAACACTTGCTTGACTTGTGCATGTCCAGAGTGCTAAACATGATTAGGATTAATTAGTTATTTGGTAATTAAGTCTGTTGTAACTGAACACTATGGCTGTAGATGACTGCTCCATGTTGCAGAACATATGTTCTTACATGTTTTATTTGGAAGAAAATCTGGAATAAGAGCATGTTTTAGAAAATCATTCATACTACCGAATGGCTTTGTATGAATGTCCTCCTTCCGATAAAATCATTCTATTATTTACCTGCAATGACTTGTTTTAACACAATAGCTCAACTGATAACAGGTCAGGTCAGGTTGGGGAGCATGTACTGATGCAGCGCGCTGCTGCACGCAGCAGATGGCGAAACTCCTCGGGATCCTGGCCGGTGACCCCCCAGGCAGATACACGGTCCAGTCCCACCCTCCAGAAGTGACCATCCATCTGCCACAGCCAGGTGTTACGTGGGCGTTTTCCTTGGCCTGATCCAGCCTTCTCGGGTCCTCACAATGAGGGTCCTGTGAGCCGGATCACCCTCAGGGAAACGCGCCACACGGCCGTAGTGCCGTAACTGACACTCCCTCATAATGCAGGCGATGTGCCTCATTCGGGACTCCTCTAGCAACCGCTCGTTCGACACAAAGTCAATCCAGCGATACCCAAGGATTCTCTAAAGAGACACAGTACCGAAATCTAACTGATAGCATTACATTAAAATGTGGTGTTCACTCACTATTACTCATGGCTCTGCAGACACCCAATCAGAGCAAAGAGTGGCTTTAGAACCCAGTCCTCAAATGGCAGTTTTGTGTTCTGTAGCTTGGTGTTCAGTAGTTTTGTGTTCAGTAGGCCTCTTCTTCACAGAGAACAGATATGTGGGGATCAAATGGAAATCTGTACCATAACATACTCGTACATTGTTCCAGAAATTAGATTTTTGTGGTTTGAACACAACAGAAGTAGTTTTTGTAGATTAATTAAATTTTACCAATTTAAGTTTCAAACGAAATGTACTAGAAGGTTGGTCTAAACATGTGTTTTGCTACACACGGATATGGCCACCCAGAAAAGCTCTTTCAAATTGCTTGTAGTGGTTTGAAAAAGTATAATAAATGCAGTAGCGATTAATCAATTTCGTCATACCTCAAATACCAAATTACTGATATAAATTATTGATTATAACATCCAGGATAGTTACCTAGGAAACCTACTGATCTCGACCAATCCCAGCCTCCCAGAGACCAGCAAGAGCAGCCCCCCAACAAATGTCTGCCACCTGTAAACCATGCGTGCACAGTAAAGAATGGGAAATTAAGAAAACTGAAACGGAACATGAGGAACTTCAATTATAACTCATTTTGACAGCATTGCTGAATATTGTTATGTTTCCCGCCTCATAGGAAACCCACCCCAAACTTTAGGTTAAGTTTCAAGACCACCTGTCAGAGAATCATACGCCCTTTAAAAAGAATCAATGTTTATTTATCGACGGTAGATATTTCTTTGGCCAACAGAGAGCTATCAGTACACATACCACTTTCACCCCGCCCCCTAGAATATAAGGCTACTATGTTTAGTCTTCACAATGTATACATTAATAAACGAAACGTGTGAAAGGGGCAGATGGGCTGTGCAAGAGAGATGTATGTGTACTTACCCCTGAAACAGGGTGGGATACGTGAATTTCAAGACAGAAAGGACATACTGTAAAACAAACACGTTTGCTTTATTACGTACCACACGTATACACGTATATACACCCACAAAACACAGGAAATAACTAAGGAAGTACTGCTTTACTTTTTCCTAGTGTCCACGAGCGTTTAATTAATCATCTCTAATAAGTAGGAAATGTTATTATAAGCGGGTCATCGTTGTTTGGAGTTCGACATCTAGTTAACATTATAAATCTAGTTAGATAAACCAGTTAGTCTCCCCATTGATATTACATTCAGATATTTACGCTTTACCGTACAACCTGAATTAATAAGAAAATGGAAAATCGATCCTAACCCACCTTGTTGGTGAAATACGACACGACATAAAAGCAGCAAAAGAGGAGACCCAGAGCATATCTATTTACAGTCATTTGTTCATGAACATTGCCTAGTGAGACGCGGACACCATCTTTCGGGACTGCTTATCCCAGCGCACTTCGGCCTCGATGGCTGCCGCTTCGCTTCTAGGCCAATCAGCGCCGAGCGCCACCACGCCCCTATTTTCATCTTAAAGGGACCACTGCACACATTGAGAAAACCACAAAAACACGGGGAGACCTCCTCACGCAAAGAGTGGGTAGGATTTAGCAGTAGCCACGGTGTAACCCTTAAAGGTTGTGGTCATGAGTAAAGTATATTATAGACTTATTAGTAAGAATTAAAGTGAGCACAAACAACATAATATATTTAAAAAGATGAACTCCTTTTTAGATTCCATCCATCCATTTTCTGGAACCGCTTAATCCCAACTGGGACCTGTGTAGATTGTCCTCTGTAAATAGCTACAAGGTAATTTGCATTGATTAACAACCTTTTCAGTTTCTGTGGTTTAGACGCGTGTGTAGTGCAGCATACAGAGTGCCAAAGATGACAGATTGGTTGATTAAATTAAAAGATGTAGCTGCCCCTTTAAGAGCCGCGTGCTCCACGTCTCACCTCCTTTCGTAGCCTTAAAGTCCTCCGGGCGTCCAGTTGCAAGCTATTCGCCGTATCGGTGGTACTTTGTGTGTTTCGCCTATTTTGACAGTATCTGTTCGTTTTAGTCAGTTTTTTATCGCGTATCGTGATATCTATTTTTCGCTGTCGTATTTATCATTTTGTTAGCCGTAGCCATTCGCGCGCCGTTTTAACAGGATTGGTGGTGCACTTTACAAACTTGTTCAGGCCGCGTTTTTTTGCTTGTAAAATAGGCGTTAACTATTTCTTAACGACGACATTTATATAAAAATATCAAAATGGATCAAATAGAAATCACTGCCAAAGAAACAAAGGTAAGAACGTCCGTGTTTTACTGGTCGGTCCGTGAATTGAGTTGTGGTATAGCTGGTGTAACTGACTGCCGTGGGGTAGCAGGCCACATAGTTAGCATGGTGTGTGTTAGGGAGGCTAGCGCGATAACCAGCTAGTGGGCTAACTGTAAGACTAGCATGTTAGCGGGCCGACGTTCTGACAGACATTTGCTGTTTGTTTCGGACATCTAACTGTGTTGGCTAACTGTCATAAGAAAAACATGATCAGAACCATCGTATAAGTACTTGTGACTCCTGCCATCGCATAAGAATGATTTATTATTGGTTCAGGGTTGTGTACTTCCTTGTTTCCCAGAAGAACGAATTACCGGTGCCTTTTTAATGGCTGGCCGGTTCATTGAGGAGTAAAGGCTGTATCTGGCCGTAGATGGCGGTGTGGTGAGTCGGTAAATGCGGAAGTCAGATCCGGGTCGCGTTTGGAAGCGATATTTACTTTTTGCCCATTAGCTGTTACACGGAAACCTGCCCCCCGTCTGTTAATCGAGACATCTGATTAGTATTTGCTTACGTGTGGGTTGTCGCCACCGAATGTTACGTTGCAATACTGGCCTGACAACAAGTTTGTTCTCAGAACCCATGGGGAGCGTCAAACGAGGCTGCCACCCCCTGCTCCTTGGCTGATGTTATGAGTGAACAGCTGGCCACGCAGCTGGATGAGGAGTGCAGTGTCTTCCCCGCCTGTACAGAGTACGTCCAACAAAATCCAGTGCTTCGTTAACATAGACCAGCGGTAGACGTAGTCCGGTGGTTGTAGTGAATATTGTCCATGATTGCAGTGTGGATAATGTCATCACGGTGGATAATGTCGACACCTCGAGTGACCTCATGCTTGCCCAGATGCTACAGATGGAGTTTGACAGAGAGTTTGATACACAGCTGCGCAGAGAAGAAAAGAAATTCAATGGGGATAGTAAAGGTAAGAGATGTCTTTTTTTCATGAAAGCCCCCAAGAATATGTTTGTGGTATACAGGAGGTTTTTGTATCAGACTTTGTTGAACAAAGAGATTTCAGTATATTTTTTTCATCACGATCCTCATGTTTTTTTTGCATTCCAGTGTAATAGCAAGAGTCATAGCTCAGTAATAGCTCAGTGTCCTCTGACTCACTGTAAATTCCCTGCATATCTGCTGTGCTCTTTGGAATGATTTCCTTGGGTAGCCAGTGATCTTAAACCTGCTTTGCCTCATCACATAACTGACTACATAGTAATTTTCTAGTTTTTCCACCATTCCAGTATTCATCCATTACAGTTTAATTTCTCAGGGTTGATTTTGAGATATAGAGTAAGAAACTTGATATTATGGTGACTATTTTAGGGTGGTAAGTCCTGCTTTTAAACATCACCTGTTGGTTGTAAGTCTTTCAATCAATCCCCTTAATTACTGGTCATCATAAATATTTTGTCATCCCAGAGGTTTCATCTTTTGTATGCATTGCAGTGTCCATTTCTTTTGAGAACTATCGCATGGTTCACCCTTATGATGACAGCGATAGCTCAGAAGATGAAGTGGATTGGCAGGACACTCGTCACGACCCCTATGGACCAGGTGACCATAAGTTATCGTGTAAATATATGTATGTGTGTATAATGTATATAATAGCGTGACATTGCCATACATGGACATACTGATTAATAAGCAGAGATTGACTGGGCAATTATTGACTCATGGAGATTTTTATCTTCCTGGTTGTTATTTTAGATAATTTAAGGTACTAATAATAGTGACATCCCACATCCAATAGGGAAATTACAAGCCTAATGATGTGATTGCCAGGGTCAAGAGGGGGAAAAATACATAGAGCAGACCAATGAAGTGCGTTAATCCTGTAGGACTGGAAGCAAAGCTCTAAAGCCACAAAGAAGACTAGCAAGCCTTTATACACTTCTGAATGCTACCAGTTTAGACCTTCTGTCATCCATGGACAGTGAGGGACCTGAGCCTATATTAGGTCTTTGTCTTAAATGAGTCGCCAGTTTGCTGTAGATTAGTTATGTTTCAAATGGTGCCTTAAATTTTGTGCCCTGTGTAACTGTATTTGTTTGTTTTTTTTGTTTTTTTTTTTGGTATGACCATGTTTGATTTCTACCATCGATAGTATAGCTGAGGTTAAAATGTCTACTTCCAGATAAGCCCATGACCACCCCAAGGAAAGGCTTTACAGGAAAAGGCAGGAACATCACTACGAAGCACGATGAAGACGTGTGTGGGAGGAAGAACACGGCCCGCATGGAGAACGTAGGTCATATGGTCTTCATGTCATCTTCATTCTGAGACCACATCACCCAGCTAATTTTTTTTTATTGCCCACTTGTCCAGTTTGCTCCTGAGGTCCAGGTTGGTGATGGCATCCGAATGGACTTGAAGCTCTCCAATCACGTGTATAATGCTCTGAAGCAGCACTGTTATGCCGAACAGCGCAGGAGCGCTCGTCTGCATGAGAAGAAGGAGCACTCCACTGCAGTAAGTTCTTACTTCACCCCTCCTGAGGGTCGGAGCTTGGTAACAGTCATGTGACCTATACTTTAGCTTTACGACTGTTTTGTATGTCAGACTTTTTGCATTGACTTGCTTGGTTTTATTTTTTATAGGAGCAAGCTGTAGACCCCAAGACTCGCTTGTTGATGTACAAGATGGTGAATGCTGGGATTCTGGAGAACATCAATGGATGCATCAGCACAGGGAAGGAGTCCGTGGTTTTCCACGCTGATGGAGGGAGGTGTGTGTCTTTTTTTTATTATTTATTATTTTTTTTTTGTTAATTCCCAGTGGATTTGTTCGTTTGGGCACACTTAATCTTCTCTCCTGCTGTCATCCTCCTCTGTCCTCCGAAGCCTGGAGGAAAAAGCCGTCCCTACAGAATGCGTACTAAAGGTGTTCAAGACGACCCTGAACGAATTCAAGAACCGAGACAAGTACATCAAGGATGACTATCGCTTCAAGGACCGCTTCAGCAAGTTGAACCCCCGCAAGATCATCCGGATGTGGGCAGAGAAGGAGATGCATAATCTGGCCAGGTCTGACTGGGTGGGGGTGGGAGGTGCTGTTGGCGGGGGGCTGGGCACCCCCTAATATAATGGTAGGGAGAAACACTGGTGTAATTTATTGCCTGAAATGCTTCTGTCACATTTTTTGGTCTTGTCAAGTAGTCAATGACTAAGGAATGGTTTCCACTCTGAAAACACAATAGCATGTATGCATATATTTAGAAGAGAAGAGGAATTTGTTTAGTTGATACCTCTATTAAAGCTAAAGAGAAGCAGTGCTGGAATGACCTAAGCACATTTTCTGACTGAATCTACCCTAGTCTTGTGGCCTCTGCCTGGGATAGACTCCAGGTTCCTCACAACCCTGTTCCGGAAGTCGGGAGGATGGATGGATGAATATTTTGCTGTATTCCATCAGGATGAAAAAGGCTGGAATTCTCTGCCCAGAGGTGGTCATTCTGAAGAAGCACATACTGGTGATGTCGTTCATCGGCCTGGACCACGTGCCAGCGCCGAAGCTGAAGGAGGTGAAGCTGGGTGCTGAGGATATGAAAGGAGCCTACTACCAGGTGCTGCAAGTAAGTAGCCACACTGTCGATCCACTGCAGCATGTTGTTTGTACTTAATTTCTGGACAGACATTTGAATTTCATTCTGGAATGGCACACCCTGCTCTCCACTGCCCTCTCCTGGCAGATCAAACAATTGTCTTTTTTTACCCCTGTGTTTCTTTCTATCCTTTAGGTGATGCAGCAGCTATATCAGGAATGTAACCTTGTGCACGCTGACCTGAGCGAGTACAACATGCTGTGGCATGATGGGAAGGTAAACTTTCTTTTCATCACAGAATTTCTCTGCCCAGATATGACAACCCCTGACTTCAGTAATGGTCAGTTATGGTATTGGTCAGTTACACTAATGTTAGCTGTTGGTGGTCTGTATTGCTAACACTGGCCAGTGAACTGGTAATAGGCAGTAATACTTATGCTGGCCAGTTTGCTGGTTATGGTCAGTAAGACTAATGCTGGTCAGTGACATACTGATGTTTACATTGCCCTTCTGCTACAGGTATGGCTGATCGATGTCAGCCAGTCTGTGGAACCCACTCACCCTCATGGACTGGAGTTCCTGTTCCGAGACTGCAGGAATGTATCTACAGTGAGTATACAGACCTCCTCTCATGAAGCTCTTCATAACGGTGCATTATTATACCCTTTGTCACTGTTACATGCATTAAATGTGTTATACATACAATAGTCATTTGTCAGGTGCAGCACAGGATCTGGGTGTTGTTTTGCATTCAGTAATTAACTAGGGCTTTTCTCCTATTAGGGATCTCTTCTGTGTTAAGGTGCGGGATGGATGCTTGAGGAGAAATATGGTTCCTGGAAACCTGGGAAAATTTGTATTTTCTCTATATGAACTAATTTAGTCAGCAGCATACAGAAGCAGATAAGTTTATATGTCGGATTTATTTAAATCGTATCTACGTTGCATATAGAAAAGGGTTTGAAAACCAATGAAATTGTTAATTTAGGAGCACCTGTTCAGTAGATGCTGCTCTACAATTATAGAATGGCATACAAACCTGTCAAAATAAAAGCCAGTAGCTACTAGAATCATTAAGTTACTTTGGTGGTAAGAAGCTAGTATTATTGCTACAAGATGTGCCAGCTGAATTTGAGATTACCCTTAATTGCAGTTTTCCTTCTTTCATGTATTTCTTTTTCTATTCCCCTCCATCTGGGACACAGTTTTTCCAGAAAGCGGGTGTGGCTGATGCCATGAATGTTTATGATCTCTTCAATGCTGTGTCCGGCCTCCAGATACAGGCTGACACTGAGGCAGAGTTCATAGCTCAGGTAACCGGTTCTGCATTCATTAACCGTCACTCATCCTGTCAAAGTACAGATCCGTGCTCTGTTATCTGCCTGTGACGCCCTGCATTTCCTTGGCAGATTGAAGCCTTGGAGAAGATGAACGAGGACCACGTGCAGAAGCGTGGGAGGAAGACCGCAGCCTCCATGAATGATGGCGGGCCGCCTATATTGAACAATGACGATGATTAGTGACGGTGATAAGTCTGGCTTAACAGCAGAATATGTATGGGTTTCAGAAAACTGGATAACACCCCTCCTGACCTCAGCGCGGGCACAGCGGAAATGTGGACTGTTACGGGTCACATCAGGGTGATTTAATTTGCAAACAAGACTACAGTAGATGTCCATTTGAGGTTTTGCAGTTAAGTTTTGCTGTAGTTGGAGTGGAGTGATTTTTGGAGGGTTGCAGTAAATTTGCTTATGTAATTGCATCTGAATTACAATGGGGAGCTATAAGTGTTTAGATACTGAACATGTTCATTCTAAGGCACTTTTTAAGATGTAACGTGGAAGAATCTTAATTTTGAAAATAGGGAATGATGGTAAATGCCAATGTATTAACTACATTAAATTCAAACAAGTCAAAATGACATAAAAAAAAAAAATCATGTTGTAAAATCGGTGCAGTGTGATAGCTGCTGTGCTCTGTTCATTGATCATGCTTTTGTGAATGTTGTTGACGTGAGATCACCACCATTGTGTGTTATCTAGAACTTTGTCAATGCAAGAACCATTAAGTAAATATAAGAATTTTCCTCGTAAACTGCAGAATATTGGAGATTATTTACAGTCTTGCAGCATCTCATCTCACTGGTTTATTTAAAAAAAAAATATATATATATGGGGACCACACCCTTTGTTACTATTTGTAAAGTGTAATTTTAAAGATAATCAGTGATTACTGGCTACATTTTCAGGTTGAGTGTCCAGTTCTTTGGATAGAAGATATTCACTATAGTATACTATGCTCTCTCAACTGTTGGTTACAGGCTTGGGGTGTGTCAAAAGTATGTGTTTATTTTTAAACAAGAGCAGTGTGTTTTTGAGGGCAACCAGATTTATTGATTTTATTTATTTTAATATATAAAATGGTCTCCACTTGACTAGGCACCACACTTGCCTCAGGCATGTGACTTTAAATCACCAGCTGAATATTTTCTTTTTACATACATTGGTACTCAAACTTAATTCATTTCAGAAGGCTAGTCCAAGTCAAGTTTCCTCGTAAGAAATAACGTGAATTAGTCTAATCCTTTCTAGACCCCCAAATGATTCCCTAATTAAATGTATCTACCTACCTAATAATGATGAAAAGCATTAACAATCAATATAAAGCTAATACACACATGAAGAAGCACACATACAATTCTGGCTGTCCTTGACTTGATTCTGTTAGCATGTAATTGGGCCAAAACACATGAGCATAATCACACTTTGGGTATAATTACCACACACGGAGTGGTGTCTGAAATGTGACCACCTCTCCAGTATATCAATCCTTTTTTAATAATTTACTTTTTATTTAAAAAAAAAAAAAAAAAAGTTAAAATGTACAACTGTCTGAAGCAGCAGTCAATAAAGACACACAACCTCAATATTGGGGCTTATTTAAAGTTTATTGAAACTTAATAATGAATACTTTACACAAATGTCCAAAAATGTAAATGTAGGAAAAAGGCTGAAAATGACTTTTCAGATCTTTTTCTATTGCTCAGGGGTTTACGTTTTATGCTCCTTGTACTAGGTTATATATTTTTGTGCATTGGTCTACAATATAAACCATTAATAAATATAAATCATAAATCACACCTATGTGAAGATCACAACATACTTTCTTTTTAGGCTGGGTCATAGAGATGCAGATTCAGTTTTAATGTATTTTTGTGGTACTTAGCAACTATCCCATCATGTGTCAATCTAGCACTTTTGGTGAGCTCCTTTCTGATGCAGGTTGTCTGTGTTTGGCAGGTGCTGTTATGATTTTTGAGAATGAATCCCTTGACTTATGGAATTATTTTTGTGACCAATACACCTGCAGGTCAGGCACAGACTGGCCTCTTTAGCTACCCTGTGTTACTTTGAGAACTCTCAGCCATAGTGCTGACTGACAAACCTCTCTGGCATTCAACCAAATATGAGTCACCATTGCAGGTGTGTTTGCAAAAGTGATTTAGCTATTTCAAAGTTTATCCACTCCCAGTTTTCTGAAAGCTAGTCTCACTCAAATACTTTTTAAAAAGTCATTCAGGTTTAAATTTGTATTTATTTCATGACACATCTTGAACTTATGTTATACGACTTCCATTATCTCTAGATAGGCTGTACGGCCATGGAACTTAATCCCTCTGATTTATTGGACGTAACTATGAGAACAAATATGGGGCATAATTAAATAATTGTAATTATAACTATATTACAGATACAAAATCAGCCTAAAGGCCAAAGAGATATACAATAGAAAAATCTTTACTTATTTTACATCAAGTATAAATTGCAGTTAGGCTTTACACCATCGTCCCGTATAATACGGTTGCGACATGTTCCAATACGGGATCGTCCCGTATTACAATTCACGGGTGGCAGCCCGAATTTCAATGAAAGGTTTTTGGATCAGTAAGGGTGAAAGAAACTCAGTGGCCTTGGCGAGAGCTTTGGGGATAATGTTTGCTTTCATATTTGATTGGTGTCATGCACATGTATACAGTGTGTGATACATAAAACGTGAGAATAAATTCTATGAGGTACGGCAAGTACACTAAGATTTCATCATCTGTACAATACTGTACATGAACAGGAATAGACCAAGACATAAAATATAACCATTTAAAATGGTCCGAACCACAGACCAAAGTTTTCAGAAAAATTTGCCGATAGTTCATACACAAGCAGGACGTACGACGTGCTCTGGTCATATGACACCGTGTCACATGACGATTTCACGTGACGCAGCCCTTCCTGAAGTGACAGTGACGCTATTGACACTCAGCTTTTCAAAGCCTGAAAATATGAGTGAGGAGCATTACCTAGAGCTGTGCGAAAGCCCGGTCCAGTTTGAAAATGCTTCTGCCGTCAACAACGTGTTTTTCGATGAGGCAAACAAGCAGGTGCCCCGTGTGTGCATGAAGAAGGCTCTAGTGTCTTTCTTTTGTATTAATTGTTCTTGGTTTGCTGTTGGTACAACTATGACAAACTGCATACAGTAACATGAAGTGGATTTGCTTTTTTTTTTTTTGCACGAAGTATATTTGTGAATATGATTCATTTATTTGAAAGTATTTGCGTTATTATAATCGTTTTGACAAATGTCAAACTAGCGAAGGTAGTTATAGCTAGCTAGCATGTTATGTGCAGCTGACTGCCACCGAGAATACGTTTGTCTTTATGACAGCTAGTTAGACATTGGCTAGCTGCTTCGCTTTGTTTTAGGGGTTAATTAAATATTCACAGTTTTCCTATATATATAAAACGATACATATATATAACAATATTAGCTGCAGCGCTTTATGGATGTATGATTGGCCGTGGTCACATTTTACTGCACTTAAAATATGGACTGGCCACATTTGATTAAATAGCATTTCTCTTATTTTAAAGGTGTTTGCGGTCCGGTCAGGTGGTGCTACTGGTGTTGTGGTTAAAGGACCCGACGATAAAAATTCAATTGCATTCAGGTATGTATGTACAGGGAGTGCAGTCGAATTATTAGGCAAATGAGTATTTTGTCCACATCATCCTCTTTATGCATGTTGTCTTACTCCAAGCTGTATAGGCTCGAAAGCCTACTACCAATTAAGCATATTAGGTGATGTGCATCTCTGTAATGAGAAGGGGTGTGGTCTAATGACATCAACACCCTATATCAGGTGTGCATAATTATTAGGCAACTTCCTTTCCTTTGGCAAAGTGGGTCAAAAGAAGGACTTGACAGGCTCAGAAAAGTCAAAAATAGTGAGATATCTTGCAGAGGGATGCAGCACTCTTAAAATTGCAAAGCTTCTGAAGCGTGATCATCGAACAATCAAGCGTTTCATTCAAAATAGTCAAGAGGGTCGCTAGAAGCGTGTGGAAAAACCAAGGCGCAAAATAACTGCCCATGAACTGAGAAAAGTCAAGCGTGCAGCTGCCAAGATGCCACTTGCCACCAGTTTGGCCATATTTCAGAGCTGCAACATCACTGGAGTGCCCAAAAGCACAAGGTGTGCAATATTCAGAGACATGGCCAAGGTAAGAAAGGCTGAAAGACGACCACCACTGAACAAGACACACAAGCTGAAA